TTGAGGCCATACTCAAGTGAAATGAATAGGACACAAGTGTGTAAATACCGAATAGTTTCTCTGGTGTGAAAAACTAAAAGTATAAGTAAGATCCAAATTGTATAACTGATAATGTGAAACAGGAAGAAAAGGGCTAATGGTGTAGGGGAAGTGGGAAGGGTAGGGGAAAGGAAATAAAGGAAAATAAAAAATATGAGAAAAGGAAAAAAATGGAAACAAAGTCTTTGTAAAAGGGAAGGGTGGAGAGGGTGAAGGGAAGGCAGGGATATGGGGAAAAATAAGAACCAAGATCCATCATGTAAAGGTACAAGATCCCAATGATGAATATAACTGTACTGTATACCTAAAAGGTACCAATAAACTCAATGAAAAAAAAAGCTTTTAACATTAACATCTTAATATTAAGAAAAGACCTTAGGGCTGGGGATTTAGCTCAGTGGTTCTGCCGCCTGCCTCACAAGCTCAGGGTCCTGAGTTCAACCCCTGGTACAAAAAAAGAAAGAAGCATTTTAATATTAAGAATATCTTTAATATTAAGATGATCAAAGGACATGAACCAATAGTTATAAAAAAGTAATAACAAGTGTCCTTCAAATCTTCCCTCATAAACATGAATGCAAATTTAAATTATAAAGAGATTTCATTTTGATACTAGTAGGTGAGACGGGGTCATCTGTAAAATGGGTCTATTCACTGCCTCCCAGTATATCCACTTGACACATCCATAGTCAGAGCCATCTGTGATACAAAGGGGTCCGTCATGATCATTATTATGAAGGATGATTGGCCGAATTAAAAGTTATAGTATACTTGGGCATTCATCTTACAGAAATGTGGGGGACGTAGGTGTGAACGTGTTCAGGGGGATACATGTGCAGATCTAGCCATCGCTGCACTGTTTGTAACTAGGATTGAAAGCCACCTAAATGACCATCAGGAGAGGCCTGGTTAAAGGCGGTATGGAATTCCAGGCAGTCAGCTCCCTCGCTGGCATTAAAGATGACAGCAGATGTTTCTGCACCGGTGAAAGATCTTCCACTGTGTATTACTAAATAAGAGAAAAACAAACCTGATGCAGGTTGGTGCATCCTAGATCGTTGTATATAAAAGTTGCATAGTCATAAAATATCTCGTATATTCATAAAAAAAGTATCTCTGAAAGAAGACAGAATCATTTTATTTCCCTGGGCAGTACTCTTTTTTAATGATCTATTTATTTTTACCACGCGTCTGTTTCCTATTCAAAAGGCAAACCTGTTTTTTTAAGTTTGTAACGAGCACATTAACTTGTGGCATAGAATCAGCCTTTTCGATGTGTATTTGAAATTCTTACTTTCAAACAGTTTAAGTCTGACTGAACGTCTAGCGTACTCACTACGTGCTGGGTTTGCACTTTGTTCTGGAATGATGCGTGTAAGAGAAATAGCATGATTCTCAAGAGAGAATCAGCAGACAGCAAAATAAACCCATCTGTGCTCGTGGCCTTGACTAGAACAAAATAAACCTATAGAAATTCAGCAATTCAGTCTCCCTCTGTTTCAGTGCCGCCCACTGGCACCAGTGCACGCCCTGATCCCAAACTGGAAGCACTCTCCAGGCTTCCGAAGTCAGAGCGTGCAACCAGGGATTTTTGCGACTCAGAGCTAGGAGGCATCTCTGGATGCTCTGCCCCCGCCTGGCGAGAGGCTGCTATAGCAACCGGGACACAGCCGCACAGTGGCCCCAAGATTCCCTGGGGAGTCGGTGCCAGGCTTTTCAATAAGAGGCACTGTTGAGACAGACATGCGATGCCCAATATTTTCCAGCATAACAGTGGTCAGATACATGGATTTCACATGTGCATATACAAAAACAATTGTATACAAAACCAAGTAAACATTAAGGTGCATGAATTTGGACCTAATGATAGTTATTGGTTAGTTAAAAAACAAAACAAAACAAAACAAAACTCTGGGATTCTCTGAAGAAACAAAATTCTTGCAAAGAACCGTGAAGTGTGCTCAGCCAGGGCCAGCCTCGGTCTGACTGATGTCCCCACAGTGCCCGTCATTTCTGCCCCCATGGTCACATGACCTGGGATGTGTATGTAGAAGGCCATCCTGGGGCCAACTTTCCCAAGTTTGAAGACAATAAAAACAAATTTCAGGATGCCTGTAGAACCGACGTTGGTGTACTTATTTTCCAGATCATAAATATCTGACTGACAGAGAAAGGCTCGTCTCCCAGCCCAGAATCCTCCCTTCTTTCTCTGCTCTCTGGCTACCATGACGTGAGCAACTTTCCTGGTAGGCCTTTAACGGCGCTCGTCCTCCCTGGAGGCCAGTTGACTATGGACTGAATCCGCTTTGAACCTCTCCTCCTATAAGTGGCGGGTGTTGGGTATTTTGTCCTAGCGATGAGACAGTGACTGAGGTAACTGACGCATCAAATGCTGGCGAGGATGTGGAAAGACAGCAATGTATTCAAGGCTGGAGGAACGCAATGCGGCCAGCTAGATGGGAACATGGCTCGGCATTTTCTCACAGAACTAAACCTAGTCTTACTACCGCGATCCAGCACTTGTACTCTGTGGAATTTACCCCAAGGAGTCAAAAACTTAGGTTCACAGGCAAACCTGCGCATGGATATTTATTCCTCATTGTGCAGCTTTACTCAAAACTGGGAGAACTTGGAAGCAACCAAGGTGTTCTCTCTAAACGTGAGAACAGACAAATAATTGTGAGACATGCGGGTGATGGAATATTAGTCCCTCTAAAAAAGGACAGAGCTCTGAAGCCAGAAAGACACGTGGAGGAAGTGTAAAGGGTACCGTAAATGATTCTCACCACATGAGGTTCTGGCAAACTGAGAGCCACGGAAATAGCAAAGAGAGCGGTGACTGCAAAGAGTTGTGTGTGCCAGTGACCGTCAAAGAGGTGGACACAGAGCATGTGGAGGGTGGAGAAACCGTCCTGTGTTTCATCATGGTGGGTACACGGATTATACTTTTGTTCAAACCATAGAATGATGAGCAAGAGCAAGCCCTAATGTAATTATGGGCTTTGGGCAATGATGATATGTCAGTGTCACTATGAGCCCAGACCTGCCCTCCAGAAGTCTTTATTTATAAAGGGAAGAGGAAAAGCAAGCAAGCAAACAAATAAAAAACCAGTTCGCATGCCACATTTGACCCTCTGGCTATAGTTTATCAGAACCTAGCTGACAGTATTCCTTTCTGCCTCCAAAGGCCTATGGAACTGTAACTTGTTGTCAGAATGATGTTTTCAGCTTCTGTTGCTTGGAGTTGAGGGCCGTTCAGTGATGAGACGGCCACAGCTTGTGCTTGGTGGAAGGTAGTGATTGCTACACCTTCCATATATGAACACCTCCAAGGCTTGGGGGGTGTATGTTCATTATTGTTTGTGTTTAGCCCCCCCCCAAAAGCCTCCTGCTTTCTTAGAGGTGGCTCTATCTAAAGTGTGTGGTTGATTCATGGTGGGGCTAAGCTCAAGGGCACAAAGATTAAGGGCATGAGTGTCACCCACCCTAAATAGTCTGAATAAGATAAAAGGGGCAGGAAGATGCTGGTAAGGTCTCTTGTTGCTTTTGCTGCTTCCGCTGCCACGTAAAACTTAGGTTCACAGGCAAACCTGCGCATGGATATTTATTCCTCATTGTGCAGCTTTACTCAAAACTGGGAGAACTTGGAAGCAACCAAGGTGTTCTCTCTAAACGTGAGAACAGACAAATAATTGTGAGACATGCGGGTGATGGAATATTAGTCCCTCTAAAAAAGGACAGAGCTCTGAAGCCAGAAAGACACGTGGAGGAAGTGTAAAGGGTACCGTAAATGATTCTCACCACATGAGGTTCTGGCAAACTGAGAGCCACGGAAATAGCAAAGAGAGCGGTGACTGCAAAGAGTTGTGTGTGCCAGTGACCGTCAAAGAGGTGGACACAGAGCATGTGGAGGGTGGAGAAACCGTCCTGTGTTTCATCATGGTGGGTACACGGATTATACTTTTGTTCAAACCATAGAATGATGAGCAAGAGCAAGCCCTAATGTAATTATGGGCTTTGGGCAATGATGATATGTCAGTGTCACTATGAGCCCAGACCTGCCCTCCAGAAGTCTTTATTTATAAAGGGAAGAGGAAAAGCAAGCAAGCAAACAAATAAAAAACCAGTTCGCATGCCACATTTGACCCTCTGGCTATAGTTTATCAGAACCTAGCTGACAGTATTCCTTTCTGCCTCCAAAGGCCTATGGAACTGTAACTTGTTGTCAGAATGATGTTTTCAGCTTCTGTTGCTTGGAGTTGAGGGCCGTTCAGTGATGAGACGGCCACAGCTTGTGCTTGGTGGAAGGTAGTGATTGCTACACCTTCCATATATGAACACCTCCAAGGCTTGGGGGGTGTATGTTCATTATTGTTTGTGTTTAGCCCCCCCCCAAAAGCCTCCTGCTTTCTTAGAGGTGGCTCTATCTAAAGTGTGTGGTTGATTCATGGTGGGGCTAAGCTCAAGGGCACAAAGATTAAGGGCATGAGTGTCACCCACCCTAAATAGTCTGAATAAGATAAAAGGGGCAGGAAGATGCTGGTAAGGTCTCTTGTTGCTTTTGCTGCTTCCGCTGCCACGAGCTGTTGCCCCTCTGCCACCCTGCCTTGGAGCCAGACCGTCATGGACTGAAACCTCTACACACTATAAGCCAAATGAACCTTTCTTCCTTTAACTTTGGGTGTTGGGTATTTTGACTCCACAACGAGAGGAAGAGTAACTAAGACAGTGTGTGTGTGTGTGTGTGTGTGTGTGTGTGTGTGTGTGTGTGTGTGTGAATTTCTGTGTGCCTAAAACGAGTCATTGTATATTCCCTTCCTCATCTGGCTGTACCACAAATACAACAAATGTGAAATTTCAACACGTACACAGGGCGTGAGGACCAAATGACACATTAGGGATGTACACCTAAACGGCAAAAAAGAAAACCATCTAAATCAACATGTCCTTATCTGTTTCAGCTTTTCCTGATGATCCTGCAGACACCTGCACACGAAGGGATCGCATCTGCTTTGTTTTCTCCACGACACAGTGTTGTCTGGTCTCCTTTCTTTTGACCGCGCAGCGGTGCCTTCTGCTGCAGACCCAAGGGGCAGCAGGCCCTTCCGCTGGAGGAGACAGTCTGAAGACGTGGAGCCCCGGGGAGGCGTCCAGGCTGGGCAGGCAGCGTCTCCGGAGTGGAATCAGAGACCCCAGGGAGCTCCTCGCCCCTTCCACCACTGAGGATAGAGCCAGAAGGTGATCCACGGTCCAGGAGCCTTCACCAACACTGTGCCTGCCAGAACCTTGACCCTGGACCTCCAGCCCCTCGGCCCTTGTCCATAAGCCACTCTGGCTGCAGCAGTTAGAGCAGCCTGGGCCGAGGTACTTTCTTTCCCCTTCTGTTTCTCTAATGCAAGGTCAGCCCTTGAATACAAGACCTCAGCTTCTCCATGGTCCTATAAATTCCTGGCTGGGGAAGCTCAGTGCTGACAGCTCTGGGGAACTTACTTAACTCTTAACTCTTAAGACTTTATCTTTATTTCTTTTTCCTCCTTCTCTTTTCTCTCCTCCCCTCCTCCTCCTTCTTGAATCCTCTGTCTTCCCCTTCCTCCTCCTCCTCCTCCTCTTCTTTCTCCTTCTCCTTATTCGTTTTTCATCCTCCTCCTCCTTCGGCCAAAAATGTCAGAGAAGCCGCCTCACTTGGAAGCGGAAAGCTTTGATCTAAGGTGTTTTCAGCAGACAGACTTGGAACCAAGGAAGCCCCTCACTTCCATGGGAAACACACCTGTTTCAGTTTACACTTGCGCCGTCCACACACCCTTTAGCATCTTGCTCCTGCTCCTGGCAGCTGGTGTGAGGATTTCTAGGGCAAGCTACAGGGTGACAGGACCCCACTGTTTCATTCTGTTCTGGCAGGTGGTGACTCCTTTCAGTCAGCAGCGCTGTGTGCAGTTCTTTTTTTTCTTTTTTTAATACACCTGTTTCGTCAACCCTTTCTACTAACGCCTCTGTTAAAGAGTGACGTTTTCTGTTTTCCTGATTCCACCCAGATTGATCAACTAAATGACAAGATCCACTTACGTCAGGGGTGAATTAAACAGTGACAGCATTGCTTGAGAAAAATCACAGTTGGGTTTAGAGTAGCAATTTTCACTGAATGAAAATAAATAACCTGGGCCACATTTATATGCTAGCCACCCCCCGAGCCCTTCATCTCCTAAACCAATCGCTGTCCTTATGATGGGGTTCCCGTGTCATCTTCACCCGCCCAGATTCATATCATGCAGAACCTCAGATTGTGGCTTTCTTTGGAACCAGTTCACTGCTATAGGAAAGGATCAAAATGCAGTGATCCTGGGTTAGTGCGTAAGTGACAAGCGCCTCATGAGAGACAGAAAATGACACACAGACACATCTGGCCAGGGCTACCTTGCAGCATGGGGAGACCCAGCAAGTGTGCTAGCTCAGGTTTCTCCTCCTCACCTCTTCTTTTCCATCTTCTCCTCCTTCCCCTCTTCTTGCTCATCTTTGTCCTCCTCTGCCTCCTTTTGATACTAGGGTTTGAAGCCAGAGTACGGAGCTACATCCCAGCCCACTTTAAATTTTGAGACAGGCTACTGCCAAGTCACTAAGTCGCCCAAGCTGAGGTCAACATTTTGATCTTCTTGCCTCAGCCTCCCAGAATGCTCTGATTGCAAGGCCTGTGCCACCATTTAGAAGCCCACAAACGCCATAGTGGGGGCTCCACAACCACCACCTCATCTAATCCTTATGACCTCCCAAAGCCCCAGCCTCCAAATACCATCACCTCTGGGGATTGAGCGTCCGCAGGAGTCTGGGGCGTGAATACTTGCTGACACTAGCTGAACCTCTGCAGGGAGCTTGTACGAGAGGACGACTCCCTGTCTCCTTCTCTCCCCCTTTCCCGATACTGCAGTGCCATCAGAAGGCCTAGAGTTGGGTTCCCTAACAGATTTTTTCTCTCCACCCCCGGGGAGACCCCGGCAGCAGCCCCACTTGTTGGGCAGTCCTTCTTGTCAGCTAGGTGCTGAGCACTGTCCCAGCTTGGGCAGACGTGGAAGCTACAAAATAAAAGAAATCATTGAGGAGCATTTTACCAGCCCATCTGGGGTCCTCAGCTAACTGGAGAAAGGCATGGTCTTAGTCGCTTTCCTTGTCACTGAGACACAATACCTGGCACTGCCAACTTAAAGGAGGACAGGTTTATTGGGCTCATGGTAAAGTCCACCCTCAGCCAGCTGTGAGGCAAATCGGCAGGGCAGAAGGGTGAGGTGAAGGTCACTGCTCGCATCATGGGGGCAGAAAGCAGAGAGAGGCCACAGCCCCAGTGACTCCCACTTCCAACTAGACCCCACCTCCTAACAGCAAATCAGTTATAAGATCCCGTGATCCAGCCACCTTCTGAAAGCCCTGCCTGTGAGTACACGAGGCTCCCAGGGGACATTGAGATATAAACCAGACCAGGTGTCCTATTGTAGGTAGTCCAGGCCCAGGCCTTGGCTCAGGCAGAAGGGCCGGATGTCCTTCCTTACACCCCCAAGCCCAGTGCTGGACTCAGTTCCAACCTGCCTCACCAAGTCCAGTGTTGGCCATTATCACGTGGCGCCTTGACACCTAAAACAGAGTTCAAATGACCTAACAGGAAGTCCCCTCCCCACTCAGCCCCTGTGGGTGAGGCCCCCAGTCAAGCAGCCCTCCTAATCACAGGACCAGGACAGCCCCTGCTGGTGTCTGAGTAGTGGCCTTCCACTGCCTGCCAGTGCCCTCCTGTAGGATCCAGGCGTCACCCCTCTTGTTACTACAAACCCTGCCTCCTGTCAACCCTGCTGCTCACTGTGCTCCTGAGCAAAACCCCATGTGGCCCCCAGTGACATGCATGGCCCCCCTCCCCTGGTTGTCAGTATATGTGACTCACAAATCCTGGTCTCGTGTGTCTAGCATCAGTGTCATATATGTGCTCGTCCCTAGAATCCCAGGGGAGGAATCGGTCCCTCATCAGTGGGCTGGATAGGAGATTTAAAAACCTCAGTTTTCCTCCAGAGCAGCCCAGGTGTGTGACCCTCTCTCCATGCCTAGCATGGAGTGGCCACCAGCCTGCAATGGAAAAGCACTTGGGTCTGGGGCAGAGGAGCTTTTTCCAACGGTTGGAAAGGGTGATATGGTTACTCCTGGAACAGGGAGGGGACTGGAGCAGGGGAAGAACAAAGAAAGGAGAAGAGGTCCCGGCACCTTTTCGAGAATTTGGAACCGACTGTTCAGAGGTGGTGCTGGTGCTCCCTTCTGCCCTGAGAGCAGAACACTTCTTTCTAGATGTCCCATTTCACAGTAGTGTGCGCGGTGGGTCCTGTTTCATTGTTTTTAATGGCTGAACGCAAGTTTAGCCCCCTCCCTCACCCCGCAAGGATGTAAAAAATCATCAAAGGACCTCAGCAAGGCGCTCCAGGAACCCACCCAACTGTCCCTTGCTAAGGGTTCCCTGTGCATTGAGAAATGACTTCAAAGTGACCGCTAGGGGGCAGTAGCTGCATCCAGAAGTCCTACACGCAGGCAGCGCAAATCAAGTAGTTTTGGAAATATCTCAAGATAGGCCTACTACTTTGTTGATCTCAGGTAGTCATACAGACCAAGGAACTTGCTGGGCCAATTGCTCCCAGTCTGTCTCTTTCATGGATTTAGATTTGTTTTATATATCCAGTGACTACACACTTAAACAATTTTCCAACCCTTATCCTTCATCTTAAATGAATTTCTCTGGACCTCAAGGTCTCCTAGCCTTTGCTTATCTCCTGCAGCCTGATTTAGTGTTTATGCCTCCCTGGTACCCATAGAGAAATCACTTGCTGATATGCACTTAAGATAGCGTTTGGCTCTGCACTCACGCGGCCTTGCCTGGAGACACACAGCTTGTGGAATCTCTAGTGTATTTCTGAGCCTCACCAGCGGATTTATAATTGGTGTCGTGACTGTGACTGGATTATGACAGTGTCCGGAGCAGACGTAAGTTCGGAGGTGAGTGCGAATGCAGCATTTCACATCACGTGCCCTGCCCCCGTCCCTCAGTACTGGGGACTGAACTCGGGGCCTTTGTATTGAGCTATATCCCCAGCCCTTTTTACTTGGACACGGGGTGTTTCTATGTTGCTAAATTGTCCGGACTGGCCTCGAACTTGTGCTCCTTTTTCCTTGGGCTTCCACAGTGCTGGGATCACAGGTGTGGGCCACAGCTGTGTGCTTCTCTGTGACTCCGTCTACTTTGTTTGCTTGCTTGTTTAGTGACTTGCGTCCGATGCTGGATTGCTGTGTATCTCTCAAAGCGTACATCTGTATTACCATGTAGATGAACTTCAGGATCATTTTTTTGGAATAAATTGCCTGGTATTACTAAGTAATATCTCATTTAAAACAGACTGATATGAATTAGTAGAAAAACACACTCAGCAACTTCATACTCCCCTCCCTTGTCTTGCAATTTTCTTTAAGTGTCTACTTTTGTGGCCGGTGGCAATGACTTGTCCTTTCACCCCACCCTACTTCCGGGAGCCCTCAGCAAGATGAGGCAGCTAAAGGAGAGAAAGAGCTGGAGTTCAGGGAAGGAGAGAGTATTCTGGCTTCTTCCTTCAAGCAGCCAGTGTCTCAGGTGTGTCCCTGAACCTTGCTGAGCCTCAGTTTCCCCTGACAGTTTCCAGATAATCCCACTAAACTCTTCAAACCCAGCTATGTTGGGGTTACCTGTGGAGTATGTGTTTCGGTGAAGTTTGAAGCTATTCGTGCTGTCAGGCCATGGTTCTCCGGAGAGCGATGTTCTGTGAGTCAGCTGGTTCATGAACCCTGGCGTCTTGAACCCTGGGTCTTGGAGAGGCCCAGGAACTGAATTCACCTGCCCGTAGTGTGGTTCCACCTTTCCAGGGCAGGCTGCTAATAACCAGTCTCAAAGGAGCAAAGCCAGAGTTGGCCTCAGCTGTGGTGAGAGCTTGGGGCTGGGGTCTGACTGGGAGTCCAGTTAAATAGCTGTTCTCGGGGTGCCAGGCGAGGAGAGCCCGACACGCGGCACTTTACCATGACAGGAGCTGAGGGCCCCTGGTCTGGGGTGACGCTTCAGGAGAAGCCTGTTCCAGCCACCAGGGGCAGGGTCCCTCCACGACCCTGTGTGTGCTCTCTACTGTAGTCTATTTTCTGCGGCTCTACAACACACCTGAGGTTAGCAACGCCACAGTTCTGGCGATCTGGTGGTCTCTACTTTCTGTTGTTTGTTGAGGCCCCTTGGCTACGTCACCTGGTAGGTGCATCCTCCAGGGATCTCATGGAAGGAGAGTTCACAGGGCCAGAGAGCCCCGAGGGCCGGTCTCGCTGTTCTTTTGCAGCCTCTGTCGTGGGAACCAACCAGGGTCCCATGGGAACAGCATCAATCCCTTCTGGGGGCAGCGCCCCAGTAACCCGATCACTATCTGCCGGGCCCCACCCCCTTAATGACGCCTGCACTTTCGCACTGCCCCACGGAGGACAAACCCTCACACGCCCGGCCTTGGAGGATATCTCATTCAAACCATTGCACATTGCAGCGGGGGTGGCCTGGGGCTGCCTCAGAACTCTTTCTCTTTAGAGCTGAGCCTGTTCCTCCTGGTCTTTGGGCAGAATCTCGCGCACCGCACACCATCACATTTTCTCTGACTCACGCCATTAAAAAAAATCTGCCGAGTTACTGACACATTAAGATCAGATTTCACAGCCTCTTCCGCAATACTCAGAAGTCCATTAAGACATTGCACATGTCCCCTGCAGGTTGCAAAGGCCAGGAGCTGGGATCTCCAGTTTGTGGCCATCCTCTTCTGGGGCTTGGCTTTCCTGTTTTCAATCCGCAGGCCTGAGGGGTGGTCCGTGCTTCTCTGTTCCGATAGGCTGTGTGTCGGTAGCAACTGAACTTTCCACAAGCACGTTTTCCTGAGGGGGCTGCCTCATCCGAGAGCTCAAGAACTATTATCCATCTTCTAAAAGCATCATAGGGATAAAGGGGACATGGCAGATCGTGATAGCAGGCTTTACTTCTTAAAAACATTTGATACAGCAGAAGCATCCTTGTCCGATACAATGAACACGCCAAGTACCGCACACCAGACAGTCAGAGTCTATTTGTAAAGAGCTAGGAGTGGTGTCTGGCACACAGCAGGCACTCTGTGCATGTGAAAGCAGATGTTTGTAATCTGGTAACAAGTCCTTGAAATGTGTGGCTCAGTTCCTCTCCCCATCACTCCTTCCTGTCTTTAAAACTCAGGAGGGAGGAGGAAGGAAAGGATCAGAGATTTGCAGCGGGAAGCGAAAGTGAGGCCTGGTCTCAAGGGCAGGAGGACTAAAACTCCCAGGATCTCCTGGCCTTAAAAGGCACAAGCATCCCGGTGGGGGAAGTGACGGGTGATAAGGACCCTGCGGTGCTGCTGTGGGTCACGTTGTGAGTCACAAGTGCTCTGGGTCCCTCTCCAAACTCCTTTCTTTCAGTCTGGCCAACATGTGTCTGCCTGAAGTGGGCCCAGCTCTCACTGGGGCCATGAGGTGGCAGCAGCCACCACTGGGCTCCTGGCCCACGATCCCCTGAGACAGTAGGTAAAATACTGTGTCCATGTGCATTCAGAGTCAAGGGACCATCAGAGCTTTTATTGGATTTTCAAAGGACTCGGGGACTCCCAAAGTCAAACATCTTGAGGACTGTAGTAACTCAGAAACATCCCTGAGAACAGAGGGCTCACTGATCATTACGTGAAATAAGGACAAGAGTGAGATGGGACCCAATTTGTCTTTGAGGATGATCAAGGGTGCTTATGTGATGCTTTTCACTTATATTACATCAGAATTTTTTAAAATGATGCTTTATTTAAATATCCCATACTCACCAGGAATGGCCAGGCAGGTGCCCAGATGCCCAGGATATCATGGTGCAGGGAGCTCTGATGTTACTGGTGGCAGCTGGAGGAGGCTGGCATTGGCTCTCATGACCCAGTCTGGAAAGGTAGAGGCCTCATCCACCTGGCAGAAGCAGCTGCCCCTGGCAGAACCCCTTACTCCTTATCCAACTTCTACCTGCGAGGGCAGGGATTAAGAGAACATCTTTGTCACTGGGTAGGGGTGGCAAGGGTTGCCACACCATGGCATCCTGAGGTGGGGGCCTGAACTACAAGCAGGCATCATCAGCTCAAAGTCAAGAGGCCAGAAGTCTGACATCATGGTGTAGGTAGGGCCTCGCTTCCTCCAAGACCTGTAGGGGAGGCTCCCAGCTTCTGTGGGTGGCCAGCAAGTCTTGGTGGCCCTCGACTTCAAGCTCCAACTTCTGCCTCTGTCATCCTGAGCCACTCTCCTTGTGTCTGTGTCCAGATTCCTCTCTTGTAAGGACATCAGTCATATTGGATTTGGGCCCACTCTGATCACCTCCTCCTAACACAGTTACCTATGAAGACCCCATTTCCAAATAAAGTCACATTCATAGGTACCAGGGATTAGGACGTCAATATATCTTTTGGGGAGCACAATTCCACCCATCAAACAGCTACTTCACCTCAATAGGCCTGGCTACTCCAGTCCTGTGTGTTGTCATCACTCAAACCTAACCCCTCCCTGGGCTCTTGGGGGTGACGGGAGCACTTCTCTCCTTCTCGTGGTAACCTTCCCCTGGGTATATATTCTGAAGGGAACATTTTTTCCTCCTCCATTTCAGTCCTGTAGGAAACAAGTTCCCTGTAGATTGAGATACGTTAGCGGGCAGTGTGTGTGTGTGTGTGTGTGTGTGTGTGTGTGTGTGTGT